CTTCTTCTTCTTCTTCTTCTTCTTCTTCTTCTTCTTCTTCTTCTTCTTCTTCTACTATGACTTTTTCTCATCAAGCCGAAATAAGTAAAAATGTCAATGTATCATTCATGAATACCTTTGAAAGCACATGAAATCTATTTCCAATAGAAACAGAATCGTGCTTTCTCCCGCGAGGAAAGTTCCCTCTTTTCTAAGTGTCTAATGCAAGGTAAATTTTATTTATTTTTAACAAGGCAAAACACTATGTAGAGTTGACCAAAGCTGGGAGTCACACTATGGAACTAAACTAAAAAGTATATTTAACAAGAAAGTAATACGAAATCTATAAGCAAAGATTTTCCTCTTTCTCCCACTTCATCGGTCCAGGCATATTTTCAGAACAGTTTTGAATGTCGTTCTTCAATGGGCTGCCCATATTGAAGTGTTAAAATCCTTATAAGAGTGTGCTCATGGTGTGAACTGTCGTAGTTGAAGGATAAATTGTGAAATCATCCGATGCAAACGTTAAATTATGGACATGTTTTCTGCTGTTTTGTTTTTATTTACGTTTTTCTAATGAATTTCGAGGCGAAATGATGTTGGAGTGAGCAAGGTGCGCTTCTGAACTATGATAACATTGCATTGTCTGCACACCCCTCAACGAACACATAAACACTACAGTCGTTGTATTTTGAGTCCACGAGCAAGAACAGAAAGGTGAAAAGGGTTAATATGAGAACGTATGAAAACAGTTCTGGGGAAGATATTTCATTAACAAATTAAATAATTGAATAGTACTAAATACTAAAAGATGTATAGAGTGACTATCGCTACAGGGATGTTGCCACAGTTAGAGAACGAAATCCAAAGATGTTGACCAAAAATGCTTAATTGTTTTTTGGGACTGGCTGGTTTCATTAATTTATGTTTTGGAGAAAAACAAATATGCATTGTGAGATGTAGGGTGGGCATTAATATTTTAGATGTTGTCTTGTCATTCCCATCAACCAAAACTGCTTTCTCTTCGAAACATTTTAGTTGAAGAAAAATCTGAAAGAACCACCATATCTCTAATAAACCATAACTACAAATTACTCAAAGGATAGTGAGTAACAATAAGATCAGTGCTAAAAATGATGTTTTAGGCGTATACTTCCTTCCCATAGGCGTTTTGGTTGTATCCCGTCAATGGCATAAATTGAAGACCATTGTCTGTGATCTCGTCATTTTCCTTTTTCTTCGACTTCTTCGAGCCAAGGCACCGGACTGCAAAGCGGAATTCTTCCGACATCTCAGAGCACAATGTTTGCTGAAATAAAAAGACAAAACAATATTTCTTTTGTTTGAGGAAAGAACCAACATTGTGTACCTAAACAATACGCAACCTCAGAATTACAAAGTTCTATCTACTCAGTATCCAAAGAGGTTATAATAGAACTAGAGGTCTTAGCAGTGACGTCAGGAGCGCCAAACTTGAGGTGCGCGCCGTCATTCCCGAGAGGAATAAAAGGCCAGTTAATGCGCAGCAACACTTTTCAATACTGGATTAATAATACTCAGCGGAGTCTTTTGATGTTGATTTCTTATTCATGTGATGGTACAAGTGCAGTTATAAAAACTAATCGTTTCGGTTTTGGGGGTGTTTTTTTCTACGTGCCAACGTATGAACTGGTCGCTTTTAAGCACAACGGGGCTGTCCTGAAAATTCTGTTTTGAGAAAATCGAAGGTAAAGTTTTTGGACCCTGGTTCAGTTTCTTTAAAAGACAAGGAGAGTTTTCTCTATAACCAAACAAATAGACACACCAATTAAATCAAACTTCTCCTATTGGTAGGGCAGTGCCCACTTTTGGAGTAGGTTAAGATTTCTGGAAACTCCCAAAATCTGGGTTAGCCTGCTTGTCCTTAAAAGCGACCAAATGTCCCTTTTACTTTTTTATTATGTTTTATTCCAAATTATTTTCAAGAATCCTCAGTTTACCTTTCAAAGACAACATCACAACTTACCTTATCCTTTTTGGCGTTTTTCTTGGCTTTCCACACAAACTCGCAGATGGACACGAAGAATCCGATCACAACCCCACCCATCAAGAAGACGAAAACTCCACCCACATTCTCTACTCCGAGCTCATTGGCTTTGCCAGCCATAGATCCCTCCTCCTTGTGACATTTGCCACCGCCCAACTCCTTTTCCCACCACTTGACGCGGAGTCGCTCGATGTCCTGAAGCTCTGTCAGTCGCAATATCTCCTCCGTCAGATGTTCTCTCAGAGAGGAGCCTGTTCCCATAAGTAAAAAAAGATGGTTATTAAGCTTTACATAGGTGAGAAGGTGTGGAGAGATAGAGGGAAAGAAGAGCATAGAAAGGCAAAGAAAAGCATACACAGATTGATGTCCTGAACAAATTTGCAAAGAATAACACAAAGAGAAAAAACTAGCTGATCAAGAAAGCAGACAACAGGAAGGAACGGGGTACCACGATCATCAGTGTCTGCTCCAGACCTGACACCTGAAGAAGAGGAAGGTCAGAAGAGGATTTTTTAAATATAAAGTCGAAATTGTCCAAGACGGGCACACATGGACGAGGAGAAAAGTGGCCGTCTTTCACAGGTGGATGTCTTACACAGAGTTATTATATTGTGAAATAAACGCAAAGTGGGATATGACAAATAGTCCTTTGTACAGATGGTTGTCTTATACAGGTGGCTGTTACAGCAAGTTTGAACGCATTTTCATCATGCCTGCGAACAAAATAATGAGGGCAAAACGAAAACAAGCGAGGAAAGAGTTTATTCATGATTTATGCATAATTTGTGATTATAAACATTTTATTTCGAGAATCATGCAGTGTCAAACAACTTTATGAGACAGGCTTCTTCTACCCTGACTGCCAGGGACAACTGAACTGTGGGGGACCACTGAGGTCTAGATAATTTTCTTTTCTGGAAAACAAACGGCAATGAATAATATTGCCCGAACTGCGTGTAGCACAATTACATATCTGTCACACCTTAGACGCCGGAGTGTTTCTTTAGAGGAGACTAACAAGCATACAGACGATCGTTTTGGTAAAACTACTCCTAGATTTAAAAAAAACAACAACAAAAAAGGAACAAAAAAAAACACGTTTATGTGGCGTAGCAGTTAACTCTTCTCCTGGTTCAAGAATGATCTAGCTCGATTTCGTTCTAGCGGGGGAAAACGTACAGAAGGGTGCTGGAATGGTAGAAAATAAACAGCGAAACAAATAAAAGGGAGAGAAGCTGAAAGAGCATAAGGAAAATAATGTTATGTTGAGAATGTCGCAGAATGTACCCAGAAGAAAAGAAGAGAAAGAAGGATACATCCGCACTAGAAGAGGCTAATAGCCGCACATTATCTTAACAGTGATAACTGTATGAATTCGTGTTAGTGTAACGCCTCTGTTAACTTTGTAAGTTTATTCAACACTCGCGGACCTCTAAATTTTAGGTCCAATTAATTTGATAAATTTTGCCAAATTATAGGCAAGATAATTCCTAAACTCAACCAATCAAGAACGCCCTGTTGAGGATTCGAGCCTTTGACACCTGCTCTGAAGTCTAGCATGACACCTTGGGAGCTAACGATGTATCATTTAAATTTGAAGATATATCGTCCTCAACTTCTGAATAACAGGATACACATACTGACCTTGCGGTGTGGCGAATCCGTAACCCTTAGTATCCAACAATCCGCCGATCTGCATGAGATTACAGTTTCTGTAGGACACAAAACATGGCAAGTCTTAGAGATAGAATTTAAGGTTGCAATAGATCGGCAAGCATGGAAATAGTCAGCAATGGTCTGGTTTGTTCTTCTCTATATTCGTATTGTGCATTCTGTGCAGTTGATATTATCACCTCTAAACTCTAAATTATTTATACATCTCCCATGCCATTTTAATAAATCCAAAATCCCCCCC